TTCCAACCAAGAGGTTGTGAGTTCGATTCACCCCAAGAGCAAGGTGGGGAGTTCTTGGAGGGACGGATGCCGAGGGTCTATTGGAAACAGCATCTCTACCCTAGAGTAGAGGTAAGGTCTGCGTACACACTACCCTTCCCAGACCCTACTTGTGGGATTATACTGGGGGGTTGTTGTTGTATATTCTTCAATTATTTGCTACAACTGTATCACGAACAATTCTTTGATCTGTAAATGAGCAACATTTTAATAGCAGAATTTCCTTATTCGTGTTCGCAGAGGAGCCTTCCTTCAGCCGCTGGATCTGGATCTAGTAAAACCACAGCAGCTGGATGGGCAGCATTTTGAAATTTTAAGCGTATGTTTAATATGGCCGAGATAGTGAGATATATGCTTGCTGTTATACTAGGATAGAAAACTATATATCCAAACTAAAAGGGCAAAGTAGTGCACTAAGCTTCAGCTATGCACAAGGTTCAGGGAAGGGCTAGATCATATTTGGTCTATTGTACAAACCTTATCTTGTATTTTTGCAAGAGATTATTTTCACGGCTTGAATCTGGCGGCAACTCTGACGGTTGCACCGAGGCTTCCCACGTTAAGAGAATGAAAGAAAAATTTCATGTGTGTTTCCTCAGTTCCTTGGAAGATAAAGTGTGATGGAGTGCATTTAATTTAAACTTGCTTAACCTGTTTGAATTGTACTTTTGTTCTACATCTAATAAAGATTTTTTTTTTTTTTGCAAACTTGTCCGAAGTGTTTTGGCTGAAGTAAGCTGTCAGCTTTTGCAATCATAGTCGCATAAAGGGGAAGTGTATTGTTAGCCACTAATAATATATGTATTTATTTTTAAGTTATGGTTTAAAATATTTTTAGTTTTTAGTCACTGCTTTAATAAGCTTTAACTGCCGGACAAAAATACCCTTTTGCTCATGACTTTAACTTTTGAACTTAACTTCGGGACTATATGTCCTTAACTTTTGAATTTGTAACTTTAAGGGTGTGTTTGGTACGAAAGAAAATATTTCCGAAAAATATTTTTCAATTTCCCATGTTTAGTTGGCTTAAATGTTTTGAAAAATATTTTCCTTGTCAATTCATTTTTCTCCAATTGGAGGAAAATATTTTCCTTACCAAGAGAAGAGAAAATATTTTCCAAAGCTCCTTCTCAACCTTCCCCACCTTCACCAACCCACCTCACCCCCTCTACAAAATTTTTTTTCTTTCAAATTTTAGTTTTTCCGTTACCACTTACCCTACTACCCCTCCATCCCCCCTCACCCCTTTCCCCGCAAAAAAATTTACCTTAATTTTTTTTAATTTTAAATTTCTATTTTTTTTATTTTTCTGTACCGCCCATCATCCACCCCCACCGGCCCCCTTTCCCTCCCCCCTTCCCCGTACAAAAAAAAATTATTTTATTTTTTTGTAATTTAAATTTCTATTTTCTTTTTGTTTTACTATCCCCCAGCTCCATTACCCACGCCTACCCACCCTCCCCCTTCCCTCTAGGAAAAAAGAAATTTTAAATATATTTTTTAATTTAAATTTTATTATTTATCGGTTTAAAGGATTAAAATTTTACAAGTTCCAAAATTATGAGTTCGGAGATTTATGTGTTTGGAAGTTTACGGGTTTAGAAATTATAAAGTTTATGCATTCGAAATTTCGCGATTTTGAAAGTTTAGCTGTTCGAAAGTTTATAAAATTTGTGGGTCCGGAAGGTTGTTGGTCGGAAAGTTTATGACTCCGTATTTATTATATCTAAATTATTGATGAATACTCTTGAGAAGTCATTTTCCTTAATTTGCGTACCAAACACCGAAAAATGAATAAGATTACTACTTGTTGTCCAAGAAAATATTTTCTTGGAGTTATACCAAATACACCATAAGTTTAGGACTTCAGGACTACATGTCCTTAACTTTTGAACTTGGAACGGTAAGTTTAGGACCAAGTGTCCTTAACATTTGAACTTGTAACTGTAAGTTTAGGACCAAGTGTCCTTAACATTTGAACTTGTAACTGTAAGTTTAGGACCAAGTGTCCTTAACATTTGAACTTGTAACTGTAAGTTTAGGACCAAGTGTCCTTAACATTTGAACTTGTAACTGTAAGTTTAGGACCAAGTGTCCTTAACATTTGAACTTGTAACTGTAAGTTTAGGACCAAGTGTCCTTAACATTTGAACTTGTAACTGTAAGTTTAGGACCAAGTGTCCTTAACATTTGAACTTGTAACTGTAAGTTTAGGACCAAGTGTCCTTAACATTTGAACTTGTAACTGTAAGTTTAGGACCAAGTGTTCTTAACTTTTGAACTTGGAACCTGAAGTTCATTACCAAGTGTCATTAACTTTTGAACTTGAAACTCGAAATTTAGAACCAACTATCATTAACTTTTGAACTTTTGAACTGTAAGTTCAGGATTCATAAGGTAGCAAAAAACCAAACGTTATTTGTATCATTTTACAAATAAAAATAAACATAAAAATATTTGCAATTTACATATAAGATTGATGTCAAATTACAAACAGAAAGCTAATAACTAAAACAAATAACTGTTTTTTTGATTTTTTTTTTTTTTTGAAAATTTAGATCTCTCAGTTTTTAATCAAACTTCAATTCCATAAAATGGTAAAGGGCCCATCAACTAAATGGAAAGAGTACTGTCAAAACCACGACATGTAACAGATAATAACTATCAAATTAATTAAAACCTAAAGCCTAAAAGACAACAAGAACCTAACCAACCAAAAGAAAAAGAAAAATAAGTGGTTTGCCTTTGAGTTTAGGAAGTAGGATGAAGTTGGGGAAGAATTTACTGCATGTGGAAGAGAAGTAAAGAGTTTAGAAATTTTGATCAGGAAAAAGGGTTTTAAAATTTTCATAGACAGTTTGGGATGGAAAAGAGATAGAAAAAAGGGTAATTTCGTCTTTTTATATTAATTTTAATAAAGTAATAATTATTTTTGCTCAGCATTAAAAATATTAAATTAAAAATAAATATTACTTTAAAAAATAGTTACCCCGATATTATTTCTACTAGCGTAGATATGACTAAAGTGCTCAAGTTTGTTTTCTGTCAAGTACAATATGTTGGATTTAATTTGATTTGAGGAGAATTTGGCTGAGGCTTCATAGCTCTTGTGGCCTTTATCCTGATTGGGGAGTCACGGGTGGTGTGAACTGCGAATTAGGGAATGAATCACATGTTTTATGACACTAATGATTTATAGGTAAATTCAGAATTTCAAGAGGGTGAGTGTATTATTGTAAAGTGGTAGATCTAGAATTTATATTTGATTGATTTAAGTTTAGTCTCTTACCGTGATTTACTATACTTTTTTAAATTATAGATCCAAAGTTATATTCTTTTTGAAATTTTAGTAATTTTCACACATATATATACTTCGCGCCGAAAACAAGACCGTTCAGAGTGGGACTTGAACTGGTAATTTTAATTGTAGAGGTACACCCAATAATAATTGCCACCATAATAGTCTTTGAGTATAGGTTCACGCAATATATTTAAGTAATTTTAAAGAAATATAACATTATTATACATTATTTAGGAAGAGAAGTATATGTTCACGTGAACCCATATCCTTCCATTTAGATACACTTTTGTAATGATTGTGGGATGCATTGAATCTCTCTATCCATAAGGGGAGGTTCGAAGTTTGAGTTTTGAATTTAAAATTCTTTTTGGTAGGGGGCGATTTCTAAGAGTCTTATGTGAATTCGAATTAGTCCAAAGCCCAATGCACATATCGGGCGCCCGGTGGAGAACCAAAAATTCACATTGGTTATGAATGGTAAAATGGATCTCACGATTCCTGAAGGTCAAGTTGTCATGTGATATGTTTCAAGTGTTGTTATAACCTAAAGCTGTTAACCGGTCCGGGTTGACCCGGGATCGAACCGGACCGGCCCGGTATCAACCCGGCCCGGACCGGACCGGTAGTTAACGGGGGGGAGGGGGCTAGGCTGGGTTGGGGGGGAAGGGGTTAGAACGTTAATTTTTTTTTTAAGGCACGGGCCCGGCCCGGCCCGGTAAATAAAATACCGTTGAACCGGTAGACCCGGACCGGTCCAACGGTCAAAAATTTTTTTTTTTTTTTTTAAAAAAAATTTT